GAGAGGCCACTAGCTTTGGACATTCAGTTCTTGGCTAACAAACTTGTGAGATTTGACATTTCAGAGCCCAGCCGGGTTCTTGCGTGTGTGGTTGCTCAGTCTTCATTGTCGGGGCAGATAAAGGCCGGGCAGTTCGATGATCAACATTTGGCAATTTTCAGAGAGACGGTGCTTCAGGGAGGTGCCAAGGAGATTTCTATCGGCGGTGATGGTGTTTTGCGGCTCCAGGGTCGTCTATGCGTTCCTAATGTTGATGGTCTGAGGGAGAGGATACTAGAAGAGGCACACAGTTCGCGGTATTCCATTCATCCAGGAGCTACGAAGATGTATCGTGACTTGAGGCAACATTATTGGTGGCGGAGGATGAAGAAAGACATAGTGGAGTATGTGACTAGGTGTTTGAATTGCCAGCAGGTCAAGTATGAACATCAGAGGCCGGGTGGTCTACTTCAGCAGATGCCTATACCATAGTGGAAGTGGGAGCGCATTACTATGGACTTCGTAGTTGGGTTGCCCCGGACCTTGCGGAAGTTTGATTCAGTATGGGTCATTGTTGATAGGTTGACCAAGTCGACACACTTTATTCCAGTGGCGACTACCTATACAGCAGAGAGGTATGCTCAGATTTACATTCGGGAGATAGTCTGGTCGCACGGTGTGCCTGTTTCCATTATATCAGATAGAGGCCCTCAGTTCACTTCCCATTTCTGGAGAGCGATTCAAGGTGAGTTAGGGACCCGCATGGAGCTTAGCACAACATTTCGTCCACAGACCGACTAGCAATCGGAGCGGACAGTTCAGATCTTGGAGGACATGCTTAGAGCATGAGTGATTGACTCTGGAGGGCAGTGGGATCAGTTCTTGCCTTTGGCAGAGTTTGCATACAACAACAGCTATCAGTCCAGCATTGAGATGGCCCCATTTGAGGCTTTATACGATCGGCGGTGTCGTTCTCCTATCGGGTGGTTTGATCCGGGTGAGGCTAAGTTATACGGTACAGATTTGGTGCAAGATGCCTTGGACAAGGTAAAGTTGATTCAGGAGAGGCTTCGCACAGCTCAATCCAGACAAAAGAGTTATGCAGATCAGAAGGCGCGTGATGTATCATTCATGGTTGGCGAGAAGGTTCTCTTGAAAGTCTCACCAATGAAGGGTATTATGAGGTTCGGAAAGAAGGGCAAGTTGAGCCCAAGGTTTATTGGTCCTTTTGAGGTGTTGAGACGAGTTGGGGAGGTTGCTTACGAGCTTTCCTTGCCCCCAACTTATCGGGAGTTCATCCGGTTTTTCATGTATCGATGCTTCGAAAGTATCACGTCGACATTTCCCATGTATTGGACTTTAGTACTATTCAGCTGGATGAGAGTTTGGGTTACGAGGAGGAGCCAGTTGCCATCATTGATAGACAAGATCGCTAGTTGAGGTCCAAGAGGATTTCTGCGGTGAGGGTCCAGTGGAGGGGCCAACCAGTCGAGGAGGCGACCTGGGAGTCCGAGGAGGACATGCGGAGCAGATATCCACATTTATTCAGCAGCTCAGGTACTTTTTCTATTTCTGTTCGAGGACGAACGTTTGTTTAAGAGGTGGAGAATGTAACGATCGGACTGGTCGTTTCGCCTTTTAGAACCCCGTTCCCTTAAATATAACTTCCCGCGCTTGCTTTAGCTAATTTACGACTTGCGGGGGTGGTTGGTTCAGGATTTGGAAGAGTATGGATTGAAATATGTACATTTGACTCCTTAGGATTTTCTTAAAAGGCTAAGTTTGACTTCGGTCAACATTTTGAGCAAACGGACCCGGATTCGCATTTGACGGCCCCGGAGGGTCCGTAGGAAAATATGGGACCTGGGCGTATGCCCAGAATCGAATTCCGAGGCCCCTAGCCCGAGTAATGAATTTTTATTAGAAATTGTTAATCTGAAATATTAAGGATTTAAAGAAAACTAATTAATGATTGATTTCATGGGTATCGGGCTCGTATGTTGGTTCCGGAGTCCAGTACAGGTCCGGTATAACATTTAAGCATTTCCCGTAAAATTTGGTGTCAATCCGAGTAGCTTAAGGGCGTTTTGGCCCGTTAGAGGAAAATTAAGAACTTGAAGTTCATATGTTTGATTCAATTGGTTTTAGGGGGTGATTCTTAGATTTAGCGTTGTTTGGGCGTTCCGAAGGTTCGAGTAGGTCCGTTTCGTGATTTCAGACTTGTCGGTATGTTCGGGCGGGGCCCGGGAGCCCCGAGCGTTAATCGAACGAGGCTCGAGTGAAGTTGAAATTTTTGGGAAGTGTTGAAGCTGCTGCTTCTGTCATAACCGCACCTATGGTTAGTGGACCGCAGAAGCGGTCCTCCCATCGCAGATGCGGCCCAGGGCAGGCCAGGCCAGGAACCGCAGAAGCGACTCCCAAGCCGCAGAAGCGGCTCTGCAGAAGCGGATTCAAGACTGCAGAAGTGGTCCCAACCCGCTTGGCCCTTTTTCGCAGATGCGGTTTCTTCCTCGCAGAAGCGGGACCACAGATGCGGTGCCCTGACCACAGATGCGGAAATCGCTGAGGCAGTGAGTTCATTTATTACGGGTTCTAAGTCCATTTTTGCCATATTTCACTCCTCCATTGGGCAATTTTAGAGCTTTGAAAGAAGACCTTCACCTAGCATCTTGAGGTAAGTATGTTCTACCTATTTCTAGTTTAATATTTATGTCTTAGGTAGATTAAATACTAGTATTAAGGTGAAACCATAGGGTTAGAGCAAAAACCTTGGGTTTTGACAAGAGTTGAATTTGACCACGAAATTTTGTTAGGAAATGAACTAGAAATCATATATTATTGATCCTTGCGTTATGAAGAACAACTTCCCTTGAAAAATCTCAGAATCCGGGCACGTGGGCCCGGGGTCGAATTTTAGGAAATTGGTGTTTAAGGGTGGGAAATTGCTCAAATAGTTAGAATATGATCTTGTAAGCTTGTATTGACTAGTTCCTACCTCGTTTATCTAGTTTCAAATCGTTCGGCTCCAAATTGAGGGTTCGGGCTCATTCTTGGCATTGGAAGTGCACTTTGGAGCGATGTGAGTCTCCTTTCTAACCCTGTAAGAGGGAATTGTTCCCATAGGTGTAATAATTGAGTGATTTGATACTAAATGCGGGGGCTACGTATGTACTAGGTGACGAGAGTCCGTGCGTAGCTACTATTATGTTAATTGTCCGGGTAGTCTAGGACCCGTATCATGCCATATTTTTGAATGTCTCTATACTTTCTTGCTAATGTGATCACTTAGGTTATGCTAGAGATTTGGAAAGGAATATAAGCGAATGTATACACTTGTTGGATACTTGTATGAATTTACTTGGAAGTAAATGCGCATTCATGTGTTGCTTGATATAAATTGACATTTGTGGATCGGGCCGATCGCCTCGGTAGAAATAGATGCATCTATGGTTCGCGCCATTCGACCCTCTGGCAGTGCACAATTCATTTTCTTTTGGATCGGGCCGTCGACCTCTGCATAATGTGCGCATGATACATATATATATGTGAAATCTTATCGATGACTTGTTTTGCTAAATACTTGAAATGTGTACGGTTATCTGTAAAATTGTTAAGGACATGACTCATTACCTCTTGCTACACACTGTTGATTATTTGTAACTATCCTGCCTAGCATAACACTTTATTATATTATTTGACCCTAGTAAGTGTTAAGTCGACTTCTCGTCTCTACTTCTTCGAGATTAGACGGGATACTTACTGGGTACATATTGTTTATGTACTCATACTACACTTTTGTACTTAATTGTACAGGATCTGAGGCAGGTGTATCTGGCTATCAGTCTGGTGCGCGCCCCTGATTTATTGATCGAGGCTTCCATGGTGAGCTGCCCCTTTCCTGTGCCGTTCAACAGCTTGATGGAGTCTTCCTTTATTTTTGCTGTCTAATCCTTCATGGACAGTAGGATAGTTTATTTCTTTTATATATTCTACTAGTCGCCCATTACTTGTGACACCAGGTCTTGGCACACACGTTGGTAGACTATTATTTTGGGGAGTTGTAAAACTATTTCTGACTTATTACTGTCCATTCTTGGTTTGATTTTAACTTAATGAATTTCCGCACTTATTTTGGTAAAGTTAAAATGAGAGTTTAATTATATTTCCGCGTTGGCTTGCCTGACAATGGTATTGGGTGCCATCACGATCTATTTTGGAAATGGGTCGTGACACCTGGGTTGTTCCTTACAATCCTTATCTGTTGTGCAAATATAATTGTCATATAAATGTCGAAGTTTGCTAAGATATTAAAGTTGTGAAATATATATACAAATATATCTGCAAAGGACCTGATAAAATTTCATTTGGTCTATGTGAAGATAACACAAATATAGAAATAGATGAGATAAAAGAATATCAATCTACTAGATGGGTATCACCGCCCGAAGCTATGTGGCGGCTGTTTGCCTTTCCTATCAGTGAAATGACTCCACATGTTTATCACCTCCAATTACATCTTGATGGACTGCAATTTGTTTCTTCTAAAAAAAACTGACACAGTAGACAGTATTGTGAAAAATCCAATGATTAAGAAGACGATATTGACGAAATTCTTCTTGTTGAATGAAACAAATAAAGATGCTAAACAGTTGAAGTTATTGTATAAAGATTTCCCATAATATTTCGTATGGTCATTTACGTACAAAATGTGGACTCGACGATAACGAGGTAATGTTATTGGGCGAGTTGTAACGTGTCATCCAACAGAAGGGGAAAGATATTGCCTTAAGAGGACCAAAATCATACGAAGATCTTCTGACAGTAAATGGGATATGCTGTGACACATTTAGAGAATCTGCAGAAAAAGAGGACAGTTGTATTGTGATAATAGCTTGATTGATTGTATGTCGGAGGCTGCCTGTTACCAAATGCCTTTTAGTTTAAGACGTTTATTTGCTACAATATTAGTATATTGCAACCCTACAAATCCGAGAGAGTTGTGGGAACAATTTGAAGATTCAATGTCCGACGACTTTAAGGGTTTAGCAAATATAGCCGCAAAAGATATTCACCTTGCTGTCCTAAACCACATCAATGATATATTACATTCTATGGGGCGTGATATTAACGAGTTCAACCTTGTTGCAGAGACTATCAGATCTTCAAAAATGGAAAATGAAGCGAAAGAAGTATATTTCGAAAGAAACATCATTGTCAGTGATGAAGATTTATTGTTACATAGAAAATTAAAAATTGAACAAAACATGGGATACGATGCAATTCTTGATAGAGTATTTGGCAACAAATCAGGAGCCTTTTTTATTGATGGTCCTGGAGGAAGTGGTAAGATATTTTTATACTGTGCATTGTTAGCAACTGTGTGATCAAAAGAATTTGTAGCTTTAGCAACAACAACCTCTGGCGTTGCAGCTTCGATCCTTCCGGGAGGACGGACGGCTCATTCATATTTTAAATTCCCGATTAATGTCGATGAAAAGTTCTCTTGCAATATCAGCAAGCAGAGTTCACTTGCATGTTTGATTCGGGACGCGAAATTAATTGTGTGGGATGAAGTATCGATGGCAAAGAAGAACATGATTGAAGCATTAGACTCTCTTCTCAAAGATCTTATGGACACAAATATGCTTTTTGGTGGAAAAGTTATTATTTTTGGAGGAGATTTTAGACAAACCCTTCCGGTTGTTAGAAGTGGTAAAAAGGAAGACTTTATTCGGGAAAGCATACTGAACTCTGAAATATGGAATCATCTTGAAAAACTATGACTATCAGAGAATATGCGTGCAAAAATCGATCCTCCTTTTTGTGAATATTTGATGCGAATTGGAAATGAAAAAGAAAAGACAAACATGGATGACAAAATAAAAATCTGAGGTCTTTCATTGTTGCTTATATTACTGAAAAAGAATCGTTGAATCTCTTATTCAAAATAATATATCCTGATTTGCATACTTCTTTTCATGATTCTGCTTTTTTAACTTTTCGTGTTATTTTGACGACCCAAAATGACTTTGTTGATGAATTAAATGATAGGCTTATAGCCCAATTTCCTAAAGATGCTAGGACATTTATTGCAACTGATGAAACTATTGAACCGAGTGATCAGAGTCAGTTTGAAAATTTTTTACACTCATTGAACCCTGCTGGTTTACCTCCTTACAAATTAACCTTGAAAGAAAATTGTCCTATTATGTTGCTACAGAACTTAAATCTTTGTGAAGGTTTGTGTAACGGTACACGACTCATATGTTGTGATTTTAAGAGTCGTGTTATAAGCGCTAAAATTGGGAGTGGTGATTTTAAGAATACACATGTATTTATTCCCAGAATACTATTGTTATCATCAGATGATGAGAAGTTTCCTAGCCCATTTAAAAGAACACAATTTCCATTACGCTTGTGTTTCGCTATGACGATAAATAAAGTGCAAGGACAAACATTAGATTATGTTGGAATCTATTTGCGCGAGCCAGTATTTTCTCATGAACAACTATATGTTGCTTTATCAAGAGCAAAGAGTTCAAACTATATAAAAATATTAATCCGACCACCTATAGCAGATAATGATGACGACCAGTGAACGTATAACATAGTTTATGATGAAATCATTCAAAAAGCACTTCTATAAGTTTGTACCTCTCTTGTTTATGTTTCTTGGGTACCCATACATTCGTCTTGCTGGCTGCTGGTGATCATTTACTAATTCTTAGAAAAAGGGGAACCAACTTATAATGTTCTTTGATAATTATTGTACTTATTGTTTATTTCAATAATTTTCCTGGAGCTTGAAATAATTTAAGAGTTGGCTTATATACTTGTAAATCGTTGCTAAACTTGTACTGTTCTCATATAGTTTTTTTATGCACAGTATATAGACCAAAATATTCACATTATGAAAATATCCATATTAACAAATACAAAATTGCAAAACTTAGTACATATTTTTGCTATTTTTATTGAACTCTATGAAGAGTTGACACTGAATTTTTTCCTATATATTTTCAATATGCAAAATACTTTCAAAATAGCATTTATATGCATATATAAGTATGTCCAAGCATTTTATCATTTTTCCCATAATTTTTTAAGGTTTTTAAAATGATTTATTTCCCCTTTTTATCCATAAAATCCCAATAATTATGTCCAAAATTATTATTTTTGATGATTAATTTATTGGATTCTTATATTTATGCCAAAATATGGCTAAGGTAATTTTTTCATATTTTTACAATTTCATGTAGTATTTTTTAAAGCTAATTGCACATAATTGCAATATTAGCCATTTTTAGGTTTATATTTGTCTCATGTTTATAAAATGGGATCCTATATTTTTAAATTGCTAATTATATCTTATAAATTATTTTGGTTCTTTCAATTTATTTCAGAAATGTATTTACTATTTTCATAAATTAAAAGGCAAAAGTGCCTATTTAAATTTTAGCCCAAATTGGGTTTCAATTATAACCCAAATCAGGCCCTAATTTCCCAGCCCAATTTCAATTAAACCGACCCAAACCCGTATCCCTACGTACCCCATTCAATCCAGGCCGTTGATCATTTAGATCAACGGCCACTAGCTCACCTTCTATCATTAAACTCGAACGACCCCTAAAACCTAACTCATTTCCCACCACCCGCCGCCTCTGAATCCCTTCCCTCTCAATTCTCTCTGTAACCTCACATGAACCCTAGCCGCTGCCATCTAATTCCACCCTAATCCACCTCAATCCCTGCCTAATCCATGGTCTCTCATGGCCATTTGAGATGTGTATCGGCCTCCTATGGCTCCTGGGTGTTTGTTTCCGTGATTTCATGGACAAATCTCGAAGAGGTCTGGTCATGTCCTTGCTCGACTTCGATCTCTGGTCCTTTTCCGGTCATCCATGGTTGTTCAAGTCAGATCCTTGACTTTTCTGGCTAGATCGGTATTTTTTAAAGCCTTTCTCACTTTCTCTGGGTTCTTTGAAACCCTAGCTCTAAGAGTTGTTCGATTTTTCTTTCAGTCTGTGCTTATTACTAACTTTTTAAGTGTTTCTCGAAGGTTCTTTGATTTTTCTTTCAAAATGACTCTTCATTTTTCAACGATTAGGATTTCTTTTAACTTCTTTTAAAGATCTCTTCTTTGATTTTTGGTGTTGTTTCCTAATTTTACTATGTTCAAACATCTTGTTTATGCTTTCCTTCTACTTGATTCAGCATGTTAAAAACCCTAGTTCCTTTATGGTCTTATCCGAGTTCTGAAACTGTTTGTTTAAATGTGTACTTGTTCTTTATTTCTAACTCTCTTTCCCTTGTTTGACTTATCTGATTTGAGTTCTTATCATTTCATAAACTCGACTACTGTTGAAGCCCTAAAGTCTCAAAAGGGGTTTCCGTCACTTATCACTACTGTGAGACCTTTACTTATTTATGATTTTTCTTACCTGTCAGTTTGGTTCTCTGCACTTTGGTTCTATGTGACTGCTTGACTACTGTGCTTCGAATAGTTTTCTTTTACTACTGAATCCTAGCTTACCCTGTTGCTACTATATGTTTGTGTTGCTTATTTTTGTCAACACGTTTGACTCTGTATGCCTGTTCATTCCTTGCTATTTATATGTTGTGGTGCAGAATCTTGACCCTTGCTTGATTGATTCTGGCTCCCTCAATGTTGCGACTGATTGCAAAAGGTTTTCTTATGAACCCTAATTGCATTCGTTTGTTTAAATTAATTGATTCCCCTCCTTTAATTACTATGGCATTTTACCTTGCTGAATCCTTTCCCAAAACTAAGCATATTTTGTACTTAGACTTGATTATTTACTTCATGATTTTACTGCCCCCTTATATGGCAATAATCAATCTGTCCCAAACTGATTTCTTTTCTTAATTAAAACCTGTTAGTATCCGTTAAGCACTGATTCCTTAATTAAAGGGAATCACTTGTGTTAATTGATTCTGATTGTGATTATTTCCATGTTTGTGTTAGGACTTTACTTATTACCTTATTCTTCACTCGTTTTCAAAACTATAAATACCATACCCTCTTTTCTTTTAAACACACAAACAATTTAAGTTCAGAACACACACTTACACTCAAAACTCTCTCTTTCTTTACTGCTACTTGTGCTACTGTTTTGTCTAGCCGGCTGAAAGCCAAGGCTAGACTGTGGACTCTTGCTTGCTTTACCTTTTTGCACTTTGCTTCTCTACTGGTATGTCCTAGTTAATTTTTTAGTCTCAACAACAACGTGTTTCTTTAAATTGCTCCAGTTTCTCATTCTTGTCTACTTCTGCTTATGTTTCTGCAGTCAAGTTATGTTACTAGCATGCTATAATATGTTCCCTTTCCCTTTTAACTTAATGCTTACCTTGATGTGTACTCTATCAGTCACTTGTCGTGTACTTGCTACCTTATGAATCCCAAACCCCCATACCCCTATGTGTGTTTGTGTTCCTTTAGATGGTTTGTGTCCATGCCAGCACCAGCTATTGCTGTGCATGACCAAATCAGACCCCTGCTGGGGTTATGCAATGAACCCCATAATCCCTTTCCCCTTTGAATGATTTCTGATTCTGTGTAGTTTGAGTTTCACTATTACAACTCTTTTCAAATCACCCTTTACCACTTACTATTTCCAACCCAGTTTTAATAAATCTCTGTTTTGCACTTCCACTATACTCTTAGAACCTAGGTTCTGCCCCTCTTGTGTGAGCGTTGCCTTGGGACCCTTGAGTTTCCTCTGATCTTGGATACATAAGGGCTGGCCCTTCCACACTGCACTCATTCTATTTGGTTATGTAAACCTGGGTGTGAGCACTGCCCAGGATCCCCTGAGATCCTTAGGGAACTTTGACACACTCAGGTATGAGAAAGGCTTTGAAACATTGGTATTGAAGTGATTAATTATATAACTCAGATAGGATGTCAAGATCAGGCTTCTTTTGGTTTTAAATTCTTATTTCTGCACTTCTTTTGTAATTCAATCATTGGGACTGTAATAATTTGTTAACAATATCGGGGAGATTAGTGAAAAGGGTGGGTAGTTGTACCTTGTGGGTAGATTGGGTAGATACATGCCTATAGGGTCTATTTGCTTCAAGTATGGTCTGTTAGATAACATGCCTATAGGATCAGTGCTTGTTTAAAATAAATGATGCATGCTTCACTTTCATAACTAGAAATCATGCCTATAGGATCAATGCTTGTTTAAAATAAATTCTGCATGCTTCACTTTCACACAACTAGAAATCATGTCTATAGGATATAAATGGCTTTAATAAAAGATAACATGTCTATAGGGTAAAAATCAGCTTTACAATTAGATATCATGCCTATAGGATATAAAGTAATTGAAGCTCAATTTTTGTTACAGCATGTATCCAAACTCGTTTCCCTTAGAAATCATGCCTATAAGTCCCAAGTCAGCCTTCACACACTTAGATACCATGCCTATAGGACCTAAATAGCTATAACAGAAATCATGCCCATATAGAATTTAAAAATAGTTTAGCTCGAGAAGCCGTCTAGTTCATGTCGTTATTCTGAATTGGAATAGTTAATTAATCTGCCGCTTCTTTAATAAGTTTCTCAAACACTGCTTCGACTTAATACCGTTAGAAAGCATGTCTATAGGATCTTAAGTTGTCTGCTTAAAATTAATCACTGCTCTACTGCATTCCTAATCAATATAGATATCATGCTCGTAGAATATCATTATTACGCCTAGGCAAGCCTTAGGTAGCTACTTGAATAAACTAGAACTGCCTTCGTTTGCTACAACCA